GAAGTTTGTTTTTTTGTAACAATTTCATTAAAACGTTCACTGAACAGAACAGATTGACGCTTTGCCGTTATAAAATCATTCCTTAAATGATTTTAATTAATATCAAAGAAACTAAATCACTGTTTGGAAATTAGCTAATAGCGGACAACAAGTAACAAGCAAAGAAATGACCTCAACTTGTGAAATCTATCGGACCAGTGTAATGTGATATCTCCGAATTTTGGTCAAAACTAATCATCCCTTTCATCTACCATTTTTTGTATGATTGCTGTATTCAAAATTATAGCATCACGTAAATTTTGACTGGAAAAATTTAGTAAACAGATATGTTGTCACAGGTGTAATGAATCATAGACAGGCATACACAAAAGTTAACAAATCGATAGGAATCTTGGATTGAGAAAGGTCTGTTTACTGAATATGTTTTTCAGTTCTTCTTTCAAAATAAGAGGAAATACACAAACAGATATGGATATATATATATATATATATATATATATGTGTCTGTGCGTGTGTGTTTGTATAGATATATTTTAAGAGATGAGTTGGAGAAAATGGTATCGAAACAATTTGCTAACAAAAATATAAATTTAACTGAGAACCATCGATCGAAATTCTATCTGCTTCCTCGCATACCACGTGGTTAGTGAAACTCTTGTGAAAATTGAGTTCATTTCATCTTAAGGCTCAGTAGTTTCGAATCTTTTAAATAATTCGTAAAAGAAAAAGAAAATGAACATTTTCTAAACAAATTACTGTCGTCACCAAGCTCAAACTAAGTTTTGAGAACCTCCAAATAACAAAATAGACCAAATAAAATTGCATTACATTTATAAAACTAAGAATTGTCTTATTTCACGTAGAAAACCGTTTATTTTGTATTCATCTTTCAAACAGACTATTTACACGGTTTCAGCTCCTTATTTAGTTGACCTCATTGTTGTGTAGCTACTAATTGTAAATTATCCTTGAATGTACGAGGTTAACTACTTTTGCTTAACCGATGTCTTAGACTGATTATTCTTTCGGCAGATCAGCTTCGTATTATAAATCATGTACTTTGTTTATGCATATTGTTTGCTATGTACTGAGGTCACTCATGTTCACCGGGAAGTGTGTGTATGTTTTTCCAAAAAACTAGCAGAGCTCAACCAAGAGGCAGTTCGACCACAAAAAGGGGTTTTCACTACTTGCACCTCAATTCTTCTCTATAAAATTTGTTGTATTATTGCTTATGTTGATAAAAGAATTATTATATTCCTGTGAATTATTAGAATTATTATATTATATATTCATTTCACATATTAACATTTACATCAAACGAATCTTCCCGAGATCAATAAAACTCTCCCAGAAAAATCAAACTTCATCTACAACTATTACAGAACATGTAGATTTGATCTTACCATTACAATAACACACTGCAGCAAGTGACAGGTTCATATGCTTCAACTGGTGTAACTGTTGACTTACCCATTGAAGTAAACATAATAAATAACAATCAACTTTAACCCTTACCACAATATCCTTTAAATGTTTTCCCTACCATTCTACGAATAAGCAAATCAATGAAATAAATATAATAAAAACAACCTTGCAACTTTGTGATGAGAGATGGGACGATTCGATCTCGACATCCGCTTCTCTACAAACAAATTCTATATGCTTAATCAGTTGAACAGAAAAAAAAAAATAATAATAATTCGATTCATGAGAGATTTAAACTAAATGATGCAGTGGATATGCAAATAAAATAATAAATTTCGTGGTGTAATGAGAGAATTATCAGAGAATTGCATGCCATTGAAAATTCATATAATATTCGTCCTAAACGCAATTAAAAATAAAACCTCGCTTACATTCCAGCTTAAAATTTTTTCACACCCATAATTTACAGCTAAGCATGCGGTCAATTAATCTCGAAAGATGTTTATATGATAAGGTCCCAGCTTTCAACAAAAGAGTTACTCTCGAAAGAATTTACAGAAGAGTTTACAAGTGAAACGAGGCCAAATAAGTAGTACCCTTCCTTTTCCTATGTAAGGAAAAAGTATCACAGCAACCTATTTTGCTGATTTGTAGTGCTTCTATGATATTATAAGTAACGTCGTTTTATCATCCACATTACAGAACAATTCCATTTCTCTTATCGATCGCATTGACATTTGGAGCACATTTTACAGCAAAACCATTGAAAAAGTGGCTAAAAGTTTTCAATAAAATGTTGCGTGAAGGTCAAAGTACACCATTTTGTGTATCACTCTTACCATTGCTCAATTTCGATTGGTTTAGAACAGTTATCTGGTGTAGAAAATTAACCTAATAAGCCTTCTAAGTTTTCTTCAGCCTTATTCTCATTTCAAGTTAATGCAGTCAACTAATTTTTTAAAAAAATATTGTCTAATTTATTCCGTTAGTATCATGTCGCTTTCCAATTCATAGCAAACATGATTAAATGTGATGACAATTTTCGGGCTGTTTATGGAGTTTAAGACGAAATGGAAGTATTGAAACTGCCACTTGTTTTTAACTTCACAGCCCTGCTTCACAGTCTTATAATTTATATTTCGGTATCGGCTACTTTTTAATTTCTAATATCGCAGGCAGCTTACAAAAACCAAAAAAATATTTTTTCTAATTCTTACATTCACCCACAATCTCTCGTTTTTTGGAAAATGTTAACAGAACTTCCATAAAGTTTCCTTCTTCTGTTTTTATGCAGCTGTAATTTCGTTTCAGCTTATCAAGGAAGTTGAATTACACACACTTAATTTCATATAATCAAAATGCATATATTAAGGTATTTTTCTTTACGATTTGTTTGAATAGAGCTATGACTCATCTGTTCTAGTTAGATTTCTTTATAACTTCGCCGTATTTGCTTGAACGTTTCTAATTAAGGCAACGGCATTATAGTTATTCATTAAAGAACTGGGAAAAATATGCAAATAGATAGCAAATGTCTGAAAAATATCGATATCTAAAAAAATTAATTTCCCACTTACATTTTTAGTATTGTTCTCTTAAGAAAAAACTATAGCTTCGTAAGATTCAAATTCAGAGGTAACCATTACATTCAAAGTTTTTTTTTTTTTTTTTTTGAAATCAAACATTAACAATAAAATATTGTCGATTTTTGCTTATTTCTTTTATATATTTTAAATAAAAACAACGGAGATCTGTTCCGAAACATTTTTTCTAACTAATTTTTATTTTGGAACACTATAAATAATTACACATATAATGCATCCTCAGCAGCTTAAAAATGAGTCATTGTTTTTAAAGACAGTTCTTTCCAAATTTTTGTTTTAAAAGTTTAACTGTTCTTCAAAGAAAATAAATAGTTGCATCTAGAAACTTGGAGATTTGCATTAAAAGTCCATACGTAAGTGCAAAATATCTGTTCTGTACACATCGACCTCTAATAGCTAATAGCACAATTTGATGCATTTCATGCGCATTTAAGTCATCGAATCATTCTTGGTAGAATCTGATTGAATTGCTGAGGTTTCTGAAATAAAGATGCTGTTAGTGCATATTTGTTTTAAAGAAAATTTCTAGCTTTGTTGTCAAATGTAAGTGTGGAATTCTGCTTCAAATTCTAGCAAATTTTTTCAATTTTAGCAATTTCAATTGTAAATTTATTGTGAAAAATTGAATGAAAATTTGAAAAGAACAGGATGGAGAGGGAAATTCAGGTTCTTTTTTTTCAAAATAGAAATGTAGAAGTAGCTGAAATATAATTTCAAACGACTGCCATCATTCAAAACTGAAAAATGAAACAGAAGTAAGACGAAAAGTTTACTCGAAAGGAAATGAAGAACTGTAATGACATATTGACTGAATCATGTAATGTGTCCAAAAATCTTTCGTCCAAAAATCGTGCGAAATCTTTGAGATATGTTTAATTCAAACGGTTTTTGACGCACGATTTAAAGGAAATAGCTAGAGAAAAGCATTGTGAAAGTATTGCTTAGAAAATTCAAAAGGTTCAGCGTTTCCGATTTAAATAGGGCGTATACTGGAAAAACTGGAAAAACCGAAGCATTCACCGAATTTGTGAAAATTTGATTCGAAACAGTTAATACAGTACAGCGCAGGATTGTATATTTCGAAATCATCATGTTTCAAAATACTCAAAGTATTGAGTGGAAAACGAAGACAGTAATTCAAATCTCATTCACAAAAAAAACTGAGGAGTTCAATAAATAGAACATCGTGGATTAGCTTACTTAAAAAACAGTTGGCATGTTTATCAGTAATGTTTGATAACAAATTAATTATGCTAGTAAACAAGAATAGTTAAACTCTCTAAAGATCGCATTTACATTCGTCACTGTTGTCAGTAACAAAAGAATGAGGCTACTGTGGATTTATTTGAATACTAATGAGAATTTGAAATTAAATGATAGTACTTTTAAAAAAAATCAAATACATGCAGAAGTACAAGTTTTACGCATTCGGTAATTTAGGGTCCTTATTCTTACTCACCTTAGATTTGATTAAATTGAGGATGCAGAGTCCAGATGTGATTTACAGCAGTACGCTATTAGGTATAAAAAAAACTATAATGCAATCTGCTTTTCAATCATTGGAGGCAGTAGCACTGCATGACTCCCGATAAGGTACCGTACGGTGCAAAAAAGAAAGTGGATAAATAAACTTTGCAAAAAACTTTCAATTACTATCGTCAAATTAGTAAAATAAATCATTTTACTTTCCAACTGAGCGGTTTAGATGTTGATCCTCATTGACACTTTTTCTTGTTTCTTTCCTTAAAGTTCTTATTAACATATGCACTGTTGTACAATCAACGAGACCTAGCCATGGTCATTCCTACCGGCCTCGAAATCAGGAAATTCTTTAATAAGGCAGGTAAGCATATTTTTACTGCTTTGTTTCAAAAAACGACTTAAATTATTTGTAGAATGGTAGGGAAAACATTTAAAGGATATTGTGGTAAGGGTTAAAGTTGATTGTTATTTATTATGTTTACTTCAATGGGTAAGTCAACAGTTACACCAGTTGAAGCATATGAACCTGTCACTTGCTGCAGTGTGTTATTGTAATGGTAAGATCAAATCTACATGTTCTGTAATAGTTGTAGATGAAGTTTGATTTTTCTGGGAGAGTTTTATTGATCTCGGGAAGATTCGTTTGATGTAAATGTTAATATGTGAAATGAATATATAATATAATAATTCTAATAATTCACAGGAATATAATAATTCTTTTATCAACATAAGCAATAATACAACAAATTTTATAGAGAAGAATTGAGGTGCAAGTAGTGAAAACCCCTTTTTGTGGTCGAACTGCCTCTTGGTTGAGCTCTGCTAGTTTTTTGGAAAAACATACACACACTTCCCGGTGAACATGAGTGACCTCAGTACATAGCAAACAATATGCATAAACAAAGTACATGATTTATAATACGAAGCTGATCTGCCGAAAGAATAATCAGTCTAAGACATCGGTTAAGCAAAAGTAGTTAACCTCGTACATTCAAGGATAATTTACAATTAGTAGCTACACAACAATGAGGTCAACTAAATAAGGAGCTGAAACCGTGTAAATAGTCTGTTTGAAAGATGAATACAAAATAAACGGTTTTCTACGTGAAATAAGACAATTCTTAGTTTTATAAATGTAATGCAATTTTATTTGGTCTATTTTGTTATTTGGAGGTTCTCAAAACTTAGTTTGAGCTTGGTGACGACAGTAATTTGTTTAGAAAATGTTCATTTTCTTTTTCTTTTACGAATTATTTAAAAGATTCGAAACTACTGAGCCTTAAGATGAAATGAACTCAATTTTCACAAGAGTTTCACTAACCACGTGGTATGCGAGGAAGCAGATAGAATTTCGATCGATGGTTCTCAGTTAAATTTATATTTTTGTTAGCAAATTGTTTCGATACCATTTTCTCCAACTCATCTCTTAAAATATATCTATACAAACACACACGCACAGACACATATATATATATATATATATATATATATATATATATATATATATCCATATCTGTTTGTGTATTTCCTCTTATTTTGAAAGAAGAACTGAAAAACATATTCAGTAAACAGACCTTTCTCAATCCAAGATTCCTATCGATTTGTTAACTTTTGTGTATGCCTGTCTATGATTCATTACACCTGTGACAACATATCTGTTTACTAAATTTTTCCAGTCAAAATTTACGTGATGCTATAATTTTGAATACAGCAATCATACAAAAAATGGTAGATGAAAGGGATGATTAGTTTTGACCAAAATTCGGAGATATCACATTACACTGGTCCGATAGATTTCACAAGTTGAGGTCATTTCTTTGCTTGTTACTTGTTGTCCGCTATTAGCTAATTTCCAAACAGTGATTTAGTTTCTTTGATATTAATTAAAATCATTTAAGGAATGATTTTATAACGGCAAAGCGTCAATCTGTTCTGTTCAGTGAACGTTTTAATGAAATTGTTACAAAAAAACAAACTTCTCAACAAAGCCTGTCATGTCTCTGTGATTCAGTAAGTTATATCGATTGCTTTGCTGAAGTGGAAAGATGCACCCAATATTTATTTTAAACGAAGCACGCTTTACTTTTATTTCGGGGTAATTGGTTAAGTCTTTGACGGGTACCACTAAAGGGATTAGACAAACGCTTGTCTATTATTGATTGATAACATTTTGCTCGCCTTGTCGATTTTGCAAGAGTGGGAATAGTTCCAACTTTCTTATTCAAACTGATAATATAGCAAAATTCAGGACGAAAGCAGTGGTGTAAATTTTAAGCTGAAAAGGCAAGTAACCCGAGCAAAACTGGTTCATCGAAGCACATTGGCTCTTTATGATAAGCACTTAAATGCCTTTTATGGATGTATGGAATCACATCTATTTGACCGTGCCCTCATAATAAATCTTGTTAAAAGGTGTTCATTTGAAACAATCGATACTTTGAATTGTAAAATAGTGTGAAATTTTGATTAATTTTCATTACAGTGGTAGATATTTGTTTTGATTGAAGTGAAAGATTTATTACTGATTTTGTGTTGATTTGCCTAAGCAAAATCTTTCTTTGAACTCTGTGAGGAAACCGTTTTAATAACGGCAAGGAAAATAAAGGCATTTTCCCGCTGTATGCATTTTGCAGGAAAATTTTCAGAAATGAGGTGAACGGTTTACCGTACGAAAATATCAGATGTGATTATGTACCCTGTATTGCTTATATTTATCCAGAAAGAAATAGTAAGTATTTTTGGAATTCCGACCATTTCAAATTTTCTATTTTTGCCTATTGCTTATTTGTATTTAGTTTATTACAGGAGGTATGCCAGGACTCGTCATTTAGCATGAGCTTGCTTTTTGAATGCAAATTTTAGATCAACATATGAATGAAGGCCACAGTTCACGCAGTGATTGTCCAGATTTGTTTATCCCAGATTTCACGCGAGCTAAAGTCTTCAGGGAAAGTGATCGCTGGCCAGGCAACGAAGAATTTACATTGACTCTTACAGATGAATCAGGAAAGAGGTTAGATTTTATTGCAAATATTATTTGAGGAACTTTTCTACTTTCAAAACATTTAATTCTTATTTTCAGACAGTGTGCTATAAATATTTTTCCTTTTGAATATCTCAGTTATTAAGCTTAAGTTTCTGTATATATAGACTGCCTGGTAATATACTTGCAAATGAGAAATGCCAATAACAGTAGCCTAGTTTGACTCTTATTTTTAAGCCTTCAAAGTATTTAATCCTTTTGTTTTCATACCTTATTACTCCTATACTTGTTCCAGTTTGATTGCAATTCATAATTACTATGTTTTTCAGTCTGCACCTTTTACTACTTTATTGCTCTACGTATTGTATATTATTCATTTCTTATTCTTCTCTTGAATTATTGAAATTTATGCAATCTTTTGCACGCAATAAAGCTATGTTTTGTATAATTTTTCGCTATGTTTCTTTATTTCTCTCTTCTCTCATGAAGCTTTTCTTTTTGTCTTCGTGCTTTTTGCACCATCTCAACATCAGCAGTTATTGAAAGTAAACATTTGAAATTTCGTAGTCAATTTCATTTGACTGCTTATTTTAGGGTAATATTGTGCCTCTTTTATAAAGTATTCCACGCATGTAATACACTTCAAATACATCCAGACTTTCATAATTTTGTGTTGAAAACACTGAGATAAAAGTGTACGTCTCGGATATAAAATAGTAATCAACATCAAAAGTGTAAATTGTACTTGGGAATTTTTGATTGTTCCGGACTACTTTAATTTTAAATTGGTTATTTGTTTCTTGGATCTGAAATTGTTGTGATTCAGTAAAACAGGGATGGGGAGAAAGCATAGGAGAAGTTGAGATAGAAAAAAGGGAGGGAAAAACGGAAAACAAGAAATACCTGATCACGTTGGAAGTGCTATTTAATTAAAATGACGACTATGTCCGAAGCCCTTCAATCCAGCAAGGTTATCTCTCACTTGTTTGTTAAAAGTTTCATACGAACTTTAAGGTTGTTTAAAGAAAACACTTCTGATGGTACTTTAATTTGGCACCTTAACATCCAATAAAAATGTCCTCTATGTAAAATGATTGATGGTGGTGCTATGCTTCACAATAACATTACCAGTGCATTACAGATGAGCTTATCATTCAAGTCTAATGAAACAGATCTCTTAGTTTCCTCAAATGTTTCGTCATGCGAATTCCATCGATTCAGAATTACGAATGGACGGACGCTGGTTTTATCCGACCATATATATATATATATGCTATCGTTATAATCCCTCTGCAGCCTTTTTTGATGTAAACTGCCGAGAGAGCTATCGATGTTTCTTGCAAGAAAACTGCAAGTATTATCTGTGTCGGTTGAAATGCATTTTAAGGGTGTGAAATGATGCTTCAAGGACATCAATAATTTCACAGCAGATCGTGGAGGGAGACAACAACATTTCATCGTAAACGACATACATATATCCAGTCTTTCACAGCTACATCATTCTCACTCCTAGCATATCCGCACACTATCCTATTTTTCCATCAGAAGCGGCTTTTCGATGTTTCCCTTATCCGCACAATTTTCTTTCTTTTTAAAGAAAACAATTCTGATGGTACTTTAATTTGGCACAGTAACATCGACTTAAAATGTCCTCTAGGCGGAATGATTGGTGGTGCTATACTTCATAATAACATTACCAATGCATTCTAGATGAGCTTAGCATTCCAGTTTCTTACGGCTTTTTAAAGGATGATTTGAAAATTTTAAAATATAATTTTTTCACTACTTTTCAATAAAATTCTCTTGCAGGTTATATAGTCTAGGGTTTGTAATTTTCGAAGTGAAAACATAAGAAGTTGCGTGGAATATTTAGTTCTAAAAGTTTGACAGCCAAAGCCGTAATTGAAGGCTAAAATATCGGTTCCCTATGTTCAGTTCTGCTTTTGTTTTGTATTTAAATAATTCAGTTTATTTCGCCTGTAGTACTACTTCTTTAATTTTTCATTTAGCAAGTGCTGCAGTTGCATCCGATAAGTGAAATGATTTGTAATCCCTTGAGGTTTCTTTTACATGTATTTTGCTCAGATATTACTAAACACAGTCATCGTTGCGACTTATTTAAAAAGTAGAAAATTTTTATGTTAGCAGGTCTGAGTAGCAGATTTCCAGTGGTATGTGCAAAGTAACATTGTTTCTTGGCCCTCAACAGTTAGAAAGAGAGGAGGTGAGAGATTTGATTGATGCCTTACCTTCTGGACTTTGCAACAATCTCTCATAATATAGGTTACCTATGTAACAAGCCTTTAATCGCCTAGCTCTTACTCTGTTTTCCAAGCTGCATTTGCAGAAAGCATCTCGTTGTAATGTTGTGCAATGTTAAGTCTAATCATTTCTTTTCTTCTTCCTCCCTCTTTACATATCAACATTAAAATGCTAACATGTGTGTTAAAAATAATTATATTAGATGCTTACGCCTAGCGTTAGATGATAACAGATAATAGAAGTCCATTATGTGTCATCTCTTCATCTACTTATGTGTCACCACATATATTCGAGTCTTATTTCCAGATAGTCTAGGTGGAGTGAAGTTAGGTGGTGTTTAAGAGTTTATCAGTTCTAATGTAAATGACATTTTTCGCGTAGCGCAACGTCGTTAATGGGTTAAGTAGGAACGAAGCATTGTTTTGGAACATATCCACACAAATAAAAAAGGAAGTTAGATATCAGTGTATCACTGTCTATCATTTCTACATCGCAACACTTTCCACTTTCATCTGTATTGCATAGGTCTGTGCTCGTATTTTTAAATGTTGAGTGTGCCTTTCAGTGCTCTCTTTCCGTGTCCCTGAAACCTACCTTACACTGAGGATCAAATTATTTTTCAGTTTACGTCTTCGGTCATATATTTGTAGTATGTATCGTATTTTGATTCGTCTATGATATCTGTGTCAAATTTGTTTCCCTTCTCGTCCGGAATATCTTTATCAGTTGTGTTGTTTAGGTTTTTCTCTCCTAAGTATTACAAACATTTATTTTGGATTAGCTTATAATACCCGTAATACTATGAAGAGTTGAATTTCTTAGGAGGGGTTCTGGGAGAAAAAAGTAATTTATTGTTCAAATATTGGTTATCGAATTTTTTAATTTTGTGTCAGAGTTTCTTCAGTGGAATAAATGAAATATTTCTGATTAGTGGCAACACTTTCCTATATATAATGCGTGAAAATGGATGTAATTATGAATGATCTTCGTATTGAATCTGATTAGAGTGATTTAATAAACTCAGAAAATATATAAAGAGGAATGGGAGTAATTAATGGTCATAAGTATTAATAATAATTTTAAATTGAACATTTCGAATCATTTTTAAGGGCGACGGTGGGCAGAAGGAAAACGAAATTAAAGGTTATATTTAGGAGGAAGTATGCAAAAAACATTACTAACGATAACACTGTAATGAATTTTTTCCTCAGAACTTCAGAGAGAAATTGTTTCTCTTGAGTCAATTCGTCTTTTGTAGTTTTTCCTTTTGAATTTCACTTTTCAACCTATTATCAAAATGTTTACTATAAAAAAGGTAAAATGTTTTGTCCTTACTTGGTTCAAAAAAGAATAATGGCTAACACTGCCATAAATATTGTACACTCTGCATCTATTTATTGAAATAATTTTATGATTTACCTTATAGATTTTAAGTCACTCAGTAACCTTTCTCAACACAAACAGATTTTGCATCCTTCGTTAACGTTTTGCTACCATTTATAAATTTGGTTTTTTTAAACCTTGTTGAATATTTACTTAGTCCAACTTACACTACTTTTCTGTAATTTCCTCACTTGTTCCATATTTACATTACACATCTCATCAAATCATTTGTTAGTATTTACGCGTGAAAATGCCAAACTTAAGACAAAAATCCCGGAGTGAAGTGATAAATCTACGGATGGAACACATAATTACAGGTGAAACAGCGAATAATAGAAAACGAAATGTGGTGGCAATGTTGATTTGGGAACTATTGATTAGCAGTGGCTTATGCGCAATTGTTCATTGCGTGGACTTACATATTGGAGGCGTTTTTCCAATGGAAGCAGGTTCGGGCGGATGGGCCGGTGGTGAAGCGTGTCTACCGGCTGTCCAGATCGCCCTTCAGGATGTAAATGCCAATACCAATATATTACCGGGTTATATGTTGAAGTTACATTATCATAATAGTAAGGTACATTTCCAGAAATTTTCTATCGACTTTTCTTAATTATTACTTTAAGAACTGATTGAACTGAAATTTTATTGATGGGTAATAGTGTAAAAAATTTTAAACAGTTTTCATTTTTATACACTAATAAAGTAATACTTTATTATAACCAAGCACGTCAATTAGTGATTATTACGTGAACTGTATTCACTTTTTTCTTAGCACGTATTTTTTAGTGTCAGCCGGGTCTGGCAGCAAAGCAAATGTATGAATTGCTATATAAGGCTCCAACAAAATTGATGCTACTAGCTGGTTGTAGTCCTGTGACAACCGTTTTTGCGGAAGCAGCTCCAGTTTGGAATCTTGTTGTGGTAAATATTGTTAGACTTCTTATAAATTTGTTTTTCTTTTTTCTCCTTTATTTGTTGCAAATAAGTTTGCATTTTAGTTGAACTTTTCTGATGCATCCTTTTTAGCTTTCTTATGGTGGTAGTTCTCCAGCGCTCTCCAATAGACAGCGTTTTCCGACACTTTTTAGAACTCACCCCACTGCAAATATGCAAAATCCAACAAGGTCCAAGTTTTTTCATCCTACAGTATTTTTTCCTATACATGAATTTTATGATTTCACCCATGTATATTTTATTTAAAATTCTATATTTGCATCGACAATGTGCATGCTTTTTTGCAGACTCAGACTTTTCCAAAAATTTAAGTGGAAGAAAATAACTATTTTGCAATCAGTAGAAGAAGTATTCACGTCAACAGCTAAGGATCTTGAGGAGCAATGCAGGGAGAAGGGTATCCGAGTTGAACGACAAAGCTTTTACGGTGATCCCTCTGATGCTGTAAAAACCTTGGTA